GGATGGATAGTGAGGAGGGATGGAGGGATGGATGGATAGTGAGGAGGGATGGATGGATGGACAGATGGATGGATGGATGGATAGTGAGGAGGGATGGATGGATGGATGGATGGATGGATGGACGGACGGATGGACAGAGACGGACGGATGAATGGAGAGGGATGGATGGATGGATGGACAGAGATGGACAGATGGATGGTTGAATAGACGGATGGACAGATGGATGGATGGATGGATAGTGAGGAGGGATGGAGGGATGGATGGATAGTGGGGATTGATGGATGGATGGATAGTGAGGAGGGATGGATGGATGGATGGATGGACGGATGGACAGAGACGGACGGACAGAGATGGCCAAAGCTGCCGCTGTCTGGTCCCTCTTGTCTCTCCCCAGCCCCACTGCAGGGAGGGGCCAGCCACTCTCGACCCAGCCTGGGGGTCTGACCACAGCCCCTTTAGCCCCCCCAGCCCGGTGCCACCCCAATGGCTCACTCTGTGATATGGGGGGGGACGGCTGCATGGGGGCGGGGGGCGTCCAGCAGAATTCACATCCCCACAGAAGCCGTCCTCCCCCATGCCTCAGTTTCCCCCTTTGTGCGATGGGGCCCAGGGATTGGAGCCTTCCCAGAGGCTGGGCCCAGATCCCGCCCAGCCCTGCTCCCCCTGTACAGAGCTGGAAACCTGAGACCCCCCCACCCTCCTCCCGGCCCCCAGCCCGGCTCCTGTGGGTGTGAGTCACAGGCCGGGGAGAACGCAGCTGCGTCCCCCATCAGCGGAGGGCGGGGAGGGGGCAGGGGGCTGCGGGTGGGAGTGAGGGGGACCAGCAGGGCTGGGCTAGCAGGGGGCTGCGGGTCGGGAGTGAGGGGCAAAGGAGAAGCCCCCCCAGTGCCCCCTGCTCCCCCCCGGAGCGGCAGCTGCCCCCATGGGGGGAGGGTGCTGTGAAGGACTCGGCAGCGCCTGGGCCCGGCTGATTTGGCAGCCGAGATGTCTGCTCCCCATGTTGCCAGGCCCCCGGGCCCCACCCCAGAGCCAGCCGCATCCCCGTGCCCCCGTTCACCAGCTGTGTCTGTGTCTGTGTCTGTCTCGTCCCGCTCTCTGCAGGACCCCGAGACGGCTGCTGCCCCACGGCCCTGGCCTAGGGGGTGACCCCCCGGCCCCGCTCCCGCCCCCCCCCCCCCGGCACCGGTCCATGGGGGCAGATGGGATGTATGAGAAGATCAAGATGTTGAACATTCAGAGCACGGGCTGGGGCGGGCGGCAGGACTGGTACCCGGACGGGCTGGTCCCCGGGCAGCCCAACCCAGGTAGGTGTGGGGCAGAGGCAGGGGCGGGGGCAGGGCGGGGAGAACCCTGAGCCCCCGGTCTGTTCTCCCCCCCACTGCTGGGAACCCCCCACGGCCTGCGCCACCACCACAACCCCTCCCCCGCTGCCGGGCTCCCTCCCCAATTCCCCCCCGGCCTGCAGCCCCCAAACAACCCCCTCCTCCACTGCCGGGCTCCCTCCCCAATCCCCTCCAGGCCTGCGCCCCCCCCCACAACCCCTCCCCCGCTGCTGGGCTCCCTCCCCGATCCCCCCCGGCCTGCGCGCCCCACACTGGCCCCCTCCCCCGCTGCCTCCCACTTTCCCTTCCTTCTCCCTCCACGCTCCCCCCTCCTTCTTCACCCCCCCCATTGCGGGGGGACGTTTTTCTTGCTGTGACCCCAGCAGAGCCCCCCCCCCCAGAATATGGTTGGGGCCGAGGCCAGGCTGGCGATGGGTGGGCGGAGAACAGGGGGTGGGGGTCAGACCCCCCCAGGCTCTGGCGCTCGGCCCCTGGCCTGTCACCTGCCCGGGAGGGCTGGGGGGGGCGGCCCAGCCGGGGCTGTCACTTCGCATCAGGGTGGCAGAGCTGACGGGCGGGTTTGTGTCCCCGCGGGCACCGGGCGCAGCGCGAGCTGACGGGCCTGGATACGTGGGGGGGCAGCGCGGGGACGGGGGGAGGGGGGTCTGCGGGAGGGCAGAGATGGGAGAGAATTTATCCAGCCTCCCCCAACGCCGCCGTCCCCCACCTCACTCCCGACCTGCAGCCCCCCCCACCCACAGCTCTGCCAGTGGCCCTCACTCCCGACCCGCAGCCCCCTGCTAGCCCAGCCCTGACCCCCCCAGCTCTGCCGGTGCCCCTCACTCCCGA